ACTCACGACGAGAATTGATCGAGGCGGTGTTTAGGGCGCTCGACTCGGGTGGCAAAGGCTATCTCACGGCAAGGGACATGCGCCCCTTCGCAGAACAAACAGGTTTCAGCGGCAGCGACCAAGAGTGGCAGCAGGAGTTTGATTTGCTTTGTGGAGATCGAGGGTCATCAGAGGGGATTCGGCTGGACGCTTTCGTGGGCCTTGTGAACGACTCCTCAGATGACGGGTGCTACTGTTCGGAGGAAGAGCTGCGAAGCTTGTTGCAGGCACGGGCACAAACCACTCCGCCCACTCTGTCCAAAGCCCCTGCACCAGCAGCAAAGTCCGCGGTGCCCAGACGAGCACCCGCCCAGGAGCAGCGAACATTTCCTCCGTTAGAATTTCGAGAACATGTTATTTTGAATGGGCATAATGCTTCTGGAAGACAACTGGTGCTAGCTGTTGAGAAGTCAAACACCACATTTTGGCATCCCCCTGGAGGACCCACGGCACGAACTGATCGAGGCAGTGTTTCAGCAGCTGGATAGAGACAGCAAGGGCTACCTGACCGCGAAGGACATGCGCCCCTTTGCAGAACAAACAGGTTTCAGCGGCAGCGACCAAGAGTGGAGTTCTGAGTTTGCATTGCTCTGTGAGCAATTTGGATCATCACAGTGCATACTGCTGGATGATTTCGTGAAGCTTGTCAACGACTCCTCCGATGCTGGATGCTACTGCTCGGACAGCGAGCTGCGCAACCTGCAGCAGGCACAGCCGCAGATCGCCGCTCCCACGGCTCCTCCAGTAAAGGCCGCGGCTCCACCTGGACTCACACCCATGCAGGCAGCACGGTTGAATCTCACAACGCAGCAGTAGTAAGATTTTGGCAAAGTAGTTTTCCAGGCAATGCTGCCTTGAGAGTGACCTGGCAGGATCCGCGACGAGCATTGATCGAGGCGGTATTTAGAGCGCTCGACTCGGGTGGCACAGGTTCCTTGACAGCAAGGGACATGCGCCCCTTTGCTGAGCAGACAGGTTTCAATGGCAGCGACCAAGAATGGCAGCAGGAGTTCGATCTGCTGTGTCATGATCGAGGATCAACTGGAGGGTTTGGCTTGGATGCCTTCATCAGTCTTGTGAATGACCAATCGGATGATGGATGCTTCTGTTCGGACGAAGAGCTCCGCAAACTTCTGCAGCCACGGCCACAGACCACGCAGCCTACTCCGTCCAAGGCCCCTGCACCAGTAGCAGCAAAGACAACAGCCACCGCGCGCAGTGCAGCTGTATCTGCTGCTCAGGCGCAACACCGATCTTGAAAGAACCCAAGTGCAGCATGGAAAAATCATGCAAGATCTAAGCTTTCTAGTCTGGGCAACATCTATCTGCAAGCGGTTTGGTTGTCCCTGCAGGATTCCAGGCATGAATTGATTGAGGCAGTGTTTCAGCAGCTCGATAGAGAAAGCAAGGGCTACCTGACCGCGAAGGACATGCGCCCCTTTGCAGAACAAACAGGTTTCAGCGGCAGCGATCAAGAGTGGAGTTCTGAGTTTGCATTGCTCTGTGAGCAATTTGGATCATCACAGTGCATACTGCTGGATGATTTCGTGAAGCTTGTCAATGACTCCTCCGATGCTGGATGCTACTGCTCGGACAGCGAGCTGCGCAACCTGCAGCAGGCACAGCCGCAGATCGCCGCTCCCACGGCTCCTCCAGTAAAGGCCGCGCCTACTGCACCCACTCAAGCTGCGCAGGCGTGCACGGGACAAACCGTGCTGACAAGATTCTGCTTAGTTGCTGGTCTCAAGCTGTTTCTTTGGATCATTTCGCCCTGGCAGGACCCAAGACGCGAGTTGATCGAAGTGGTGTTTAGGGCGCTCGACTCGGGTGGCAAAGGCTATCTCACGGCAAGGGACATGCGCCCGTTCGCGGAACAAACAGGTTTCAGCGGCAGCGACCAAGAGTGGCAGCAGGAGTTCGATCTGCTTGTTTCCGATCTGTGCCCTGGCACTGGGTCGCTGCATGGCCAGGGCATCTTGCTGGATGGTTTTGCCTCTTTAGTCAATGACTCTTCAGATGAGGGGTGCTATGTTCTGGACAGCGACCTTCGCGCGCTACCGAATCGGCTGCAGCCACTGTCGCAGGCTCCAGCAGTGACGCAACACTCGGTTAGGGAGCCTGCGTCCCAGGCACCGCAGGACCTCTCCATGAACGGCAATTTAGCCTGCCGTTACTTGCAGTGGCTGTTTCAAGTTAGAAGATCTTAGAAGCGAGATAAGTAAGGAGCTTCGACCACCTGCACAGACACCCACACAGACACCCACACGTCTCGGTCAAAGTAAAGCTTCTGTTGTCCCGTTGCAGGATCCACGACAAGACTTGATCGAGGCAGTGTTTACGGCGCTCGACTGGGGGAGCAAAGGCTATCTGACGGCAAGGGACATGCGTCCCTTCGCAGAACAAACAGGTTTCAGCGGCAGTGACCAAGAATGGCAGCAGGAGTTTGATCTGCTTTGCCAAGATCGAGGATCAGCGAGGGGGTTTGGTTTGGATGCCTTCGTGGCCCTGGTCAATGACTCATCTGATGAGGGGTGCTATTGTTCGGACAGCGAATTGCGCAATCTTCTGCAGCCACAGTCCTGACCAATGGCTTCGTAAGCTCCACAAGCGATGCCACCGACACCATGATCGACAGCCTCCTTTTTCGTGGTCCTGGAAGTCGCAAATCACTGCACCTCCTAGGAAAGCTGTAGCTAGGCCGGGCGGCAAATAGCTGCTCAATCTTCTGTCCCGGCCCTACGACTCGTCAGCGGACAGCCAGGGACGCGTCAAGCGCGAGAAAGAGAGCTATTGTCAGTGGTTTTGCGTATCCCAGCCGGGTCTGGAAAGGAAAGCCTGGAAAGGAGATCTTTTCCGCAGATCCGTTTCAGGAGGCAAGGCACTACAAATTCACAAGGCGCTCCAGACATGAAACTGCCTCTGACAACACCGACGCCGACGCCGTTCCCACCGCTGCCGTGCCGCCTCGCCCCAACACGAATGTCCGAAGTTGCCTCCTCCACCACTTCCCCCCATGCGTTGAGATGCCTGCAAGAAGGCCCGCGTCTGGCCTCTGGTCCGTGAGATTCAACATGCATGGCCATGACATTGCCAGAAGCACATGCTTTGAAACACATGCTCTGTTTAGCCCCAGGACCTTGTTAGCAGTTCAGCCCCCTGTGAGCGCCAATCGGCTCGGCTCGAGTTTAGGGGGGGTTGGGCTTGGGCTTCGTGCTTCGCCGGCTGAGGAAGGCACAGGCATGGCGAGAGGAGATACTGTCACATTGAAGCATTGAGGCCGACCGAACCCTACATCACCATGGACGTCGATGTCGAGGACCGAAAGTGCCCAAACGTGCCGCGAGCCCTCATGAGCCTGGGCACACGCTCGGGAGAAGGAAGCGGAGTCATTACTTGGTGGTGACCTCAAACGTCGTGTGCTAAGAACTCGTGAACATACACGGCATTCTTCTCGATGAGTGCAGAATTGACGCAAGAAGGTGCTGGAGCAGCCATACGGCGTGGATTTGTGCAGAAGGCAGCACATGAGCGGCACGAGCATCAAGTGCAGCAAGATGCCCTGTGGAAAGATGTGGAAAGGTTTATGGCATCCTCACCGCGCAGCTGGCTCTCACGGTGCCCATGGACTGAAAGGATGCAACCTTTTCCTACTTCTTTGATGCCTCTAAGGTGCTTATTGCGGCGGAGATTGTTCTTCTGGCTGCAGCGTCAGGTGTGCTTCAGCATTCCTTTAGCAATACAGGGGCGCGTCATGGCACATCAACAACCACTTACACGAAGCCAGGCGATGTGGCTTCCTGGATCATGAGCCATGAGTGGCTTCTCGTGGTCTCTGCACCGCAGCCGCATACAGCCAAATTCTGCTGCTTGTTGCATGTGCCTACTGAACTGGTTAAAGCAGATGCACTTCTGCAAGGTTGCAGGGACCTTCTCAACCATGTGGGGGCCTCAAACCAAAAGAGCAAAGGCTGCAGAGGATGGCAAGAGGTTCGCAAGAGGTGTCCTCATGCCAGGTGCGTCATGATATGCTGCCGTGAGGAGCTAAGGCGGGCGGCCGCACAAGTTTAGACAGCTCAGTGCTTGAACTAGCCGGTTGCTGGCTCAAACCCTAAGCATTTCAAAACGCTTGCTGGCTTCAGAATCAATATGAATCAACACTACGACCTACCGCTGAAAGCGGCTCAGTTGTCTGATGCAACTTCCGTTATCTCGTTCGTGTATGCGCGCCAAAACGAGCTACGTCGTGTTAGGCGCCGAAGGGATTATCATCAAAGCACCAAGCGAGTACGGGATAGCTTGCAACAACTTCAGGAGATATCCCACAAACTACTTGTTCCTGTTTACCTTCACCGCCTTTGAGGCAGGCGAGACCTTCTTGTGATTGCGTGAAGCAGGGCACTGCAACACGCTAGGCCTTAGCCATCGGTGTGGTCAGTGCAGCCAGGGTCCCAGCATGTCAGGGAAGCGGGAGACTGTCAGAGGCCAGCGCTGATGTCCACACAATCGGGTTATGGAATCATACAAAAAACTGCACCTGAATGTCCAAGTGCAAGCAGTGTGCAAACCCACTGTCTCCCAAACAAATGCAACAAACATTAGTTCTCAATTCAGAATACAGGCCTTCGCCAGGGTGAGAATGTTATGAGGTTGGCTAGACACGGATCAGGGAGATGCGGGCTCGAAATCCTCAGATTGGTTGGCACAGAAACGCCCTTGAGTAAGCATTTGATGCTTACTTAAGGAGATGGAGCACGATTTCACAAGAGAACCTGTTGGGGTTGCAGCAACCACACTCTCATGCTCCCGTCCGTTCTTTCTCAAGTTCGCACGGCGCAGTTGCTAGGTGGGAGGGGCAGGTTCTGCTGTAAAGATAGCAGCCTTTCCAGCCTCTGGGCTTTTGCAGCGTGTGCAGTCTCCATGCTTCAGTGTGGCTACGCTCTCTACAGTCACATGTATCCGAATGTGTCCGCTTCATTTTCAGCTGTCATTTTACACAAGAGAGACGGTCGCATTGAAGGAGTACTGTAGATGACTGCGCAGAAAACGGCATTGAAAGGATCAGGAATCGACTGAAACCATGACCTGCCCACGTTTATGCATCCACCCGGCAAACCACAAGTTGTGGGGTTGCGGCATCCCCAGCACGAGCTAAGGGGGATATAGTTTGCTTGTATCTCACGCGGATTTGCGTCGCTGACTTGGCATGTTGGCAAATCCTCCCAACTCGCAAGGCCACAAGGCAGCACTTCAGGAAACGAAGGGCTGCAGGAGCCCATAGGGTTGATCTTATGGAAAACTGGGCACCCACGAATATCTCTCAGGCATCATCTCTGGATCTAACAAGTCCGAGCAGTCTGTAAGGGGCCTGATTGGGTTAACTTCGGAGCCACTTTCCTTACTGTCCTTTGAGAAGAGGAGACACAGAGTTGATTCCTTTCCGTAGGCTCAGGCTTCCATCCCACCATTTCCAACCTTCTTCTCAGAAACCGGTCAGTTCTGCTGCCACTGCCGCCCATTTTCAGCTGGAGCGTCCGAATGGGATATCAGCGGCCTACGCTATGATCAGCCCAAACTTACCCTGAAACACATGTCCATTTGTATCGAATCACAATGATAGAGCAAATCAGATTCAGAGCTCATTCTCACTCTCAGAACTGGCTTTTGGCCGGTTCAAAGCAGTAGGTGTTCAGGAGCTCTTCTGACGAATTGTGGAGGCCCGTAAAGCGAATATATGTGCAAGACCGGCCCATACCATCATGCAAAGAATCAAGGCAAATTCTTTGTTTGGGATGACTAGCCCCACCAATGGATGGGAGGTAATCCCAGAGACATCTTCTTCGCTTGCTCGCTCACTACTAGAATTCCTCCGCTTGCCAAGCTTCTCTCACCACATGCCTTTGAAGGAGAGATCAAACGATTACGGATGCTTCAGGGCTGATTTGTCTTTTGCAGAGGATCTGGGAGAGTCTCTTCAGACCAAATGGAAATCCAAGCAGGGAAGTCCGAAACCCAGCTTGGCTCGTCCTCGCTCCTTCATCTGCAGGCACCTTCGGATTGCTGCCAGCCTTGTAGGGACATAAACACGAAACCAAAGACTCCAGAACTGCGAAACCTCTGATGGAGGTCTGATGCTTTCACACGCATAGCGCAAACAATCGTGGAGACAGCCGCTGCGGAACGGCATGCTTCCATAGGCAACTGGAAATTCGCCGTAAAAACGAGTCCTGGTGTTTTCGGGATGCGAGGGCCCCACACAGAAAGATCACACGCAGCGCGGCACGGAGGCGATTCAAAAGAAGAGCCGTAGTCTCTTGATCCATGTCTCTTCCCTTCCCTTCATTGCTTACAGCTGCTTCGCAGATGTTCACGCCAGAGAGCCTGCTACTGGCCAGCGACTCAGCAGTTGGAAAAGATTGGCTTGAGAAAAGCCAACACGTTCATCCGTCAGGCGGCCGGCGTGACCACAGTGGTCTTTGTTGCCATGCTCTCAGCATAGTTTCCTAAGACGGTGCCACACTTGTTTGTTTGTGTGTGGTAGGGGGGCACCAAGCCAGAACCTGCAGATAGCAGTCCGAGGCCTTGACCGCCTACGCCTTCCGAGTAGCGGCCTGAGACGTGGACTACGTTTGGTGTCTGACCAGAGGCCTTTTTTGGCCTGCTTTTGCTTTTGCCTTTGCTGAGACCACGTCGGATTTCACCGGCTCTGGGTTTCTTGGCATCATGAGCTCCATCGTGCCGGGTGCCGAAGTTGAGTCATCGTAACTCGTTCGAGGCCATACCTATTTGCTGGCTTCCTCACGCTATTCCTTTTCGGCATCATATTGGGGCTGCTGCCGCTGCGCAGACCCTAGCAGACGCGTGAAAGAAAGCTGCATCTTGTGTCGAAAACGCATATGATATTGAACATGCTTGATGGTGCACCATCATCAACTCGCAGGTTTGGCGTCTCAGTCACCGTCACAACGGTCATCTACGATTGCCTGGGGGTGCGGGACTTGTGGAGTCAAGGCGTGTCATTGTCATGTTTTGATCCCTCAGGTGTTAAGAATCACGCCCCGCACCCTACTGCCAGAAGTTTGAAAGTCTGAGTCTAGCGGCATCTTGCATGAACATGTTGTAACCCCAAGGTTAGTGGCAGACGACGCTTTTTCTTGGTCTCCGACCACCCCCTCGAACGCTTGAACAGGTGCATCCTCATCCTCATCCTGACCACCATTATCATTAATATATCATCATCATCATCATCAGTTTTGACCCCGGCCATCATGTGTGTCATATGGGGGCTCAGGGCATCAGAAGCGTGGGGCCACACGTGTGGCAAGCGGTTTTACCCCAGGAACCGAGCACGGCGGCCAAGCCCAAAGGCTGCAGAAGCCTTGAAGAATCCCTATATAACCCCTGTAATCCCTGTAGTTTTGATTTTGGTTTCCATTATCCCAATATTACCCCAATGAAGCATCCAGAACCTCTGGATGTGCCATCGCTTCGATAGGATGAAGAACGGGGTCAGGAAGGATGAGTAGTCTGTTTAGTGGAAGAAGTCCTCCAGGAAACTGCGGCGTCTTCCCCAAGGCACAATTGCTAGTCAGGGGATACATTAAGAGGACGAGGCGGTGGTTTGTAGAAATGAAGGGGCTGCTAGGAAATGTGTTTGCCATTGAGCATTGGGAAGCCCGAGTCCAGAGGTCCTCTTGTTCTCCTTTGCCATCATCTACGTCGGATTCCTAGCCAGCGCTTTGCATCCCAGAGCTCGGTACTTGTAGTTTGCACACCATGGCAGCGATAGCTTTCAGATCAGTACTTGTCACGAGAAGGAGAGAATAAAGGAGGGGAGGAGACACCAACGTCTCCCAAGTCAAGCTGTGTTCTATAACGCTGAGGACACGCAAATGATGCTGGGAGAGTTCGGCGGCCACAAGGTCCAGCATCAGAGGATAAGAAAGAAACCCATCAGCACAATGTCAGTATAATAGCAACAGCATCAGGAAGAAAAAGCAAGCCAACAGTTCATGTTCTTTGTGACAATGATAGCACAAGGTTCCATACAAGATCGAAGTTGTTGATTGGCGTGCATGGCAGGTGGCTATCTCAATCGACGAGTACGTCTTTGCCGCACTCAACCTGTACCTGGACCGGAGCTTCATGCTGCTGTTGCTGAATTGCACACTTTGCCCGGGCAGGACATCATCAACCTGCGTGGCACTCAGCCAACTTGACCTTCTTGACCTGCGAAGAGGCTTTCTTGGAGCGTGTTGGAAGCTGAGGTTCCTCCATATCCTTTCCCTGTTCGGCGAGCGGCGCTGAAAGCAGGGCTGACGGACTATGGATAGGCTAGCTGTCACAGTGTGAGTCTTGCATCATTCCACGATGCACGCGTCAATAGAGGGCCCAACAGTCCAAGACGAAGCTGAGAAGCTGAGAGAGCATAAGCTGCATGCTGGGGACAATATTCTCCAGCAGGGTGCGTGCTGAGACTTGACAGCCGTGACAAAGACATGTAGTTACTTCTTTCTGCTTGTAATTCTAGGCACACCCTACGCATTCTGTAGCAAATTGGAGCGACTCAGAGCTGAGTATGGGATTCAGGACTGTGGCAAGGTCAAGCAGTGTAAGGACAAGTTCAGAATAGGGGACCTTGCCTTACTCCGTCCCAAATGGTAGCTACAATAGCTGCCAAAGAGGTGGTGAGTCTGTTGCAAGTCGAATGATGCAAAGCGTCAAGCTTTGGGGTGTATCTGGCACTGTTTCAGAATACTCCGTGCAACAAGAGGTTTACAAGTTTACAGCTGCCTTTTGCCTGTCTGATTTTCTAGAGCAGGGTCTTGTTCAGAATG